TGGTATCAGCCTGCGAGTTTCTTGACTCGACGCCCGAGTGCCTCAGTCAAATGTCTTGCAAGCCAGGATGCATCAGAAGCTGATCTTGGACCTATCATAGCTCATCTTCAATTGTGCAGCACCCCAGCAAGTTTGACTGGCCACCGATGAGGACAGCATCGCGATTGCATATCTCTCAATCCGGTCTTCTAGGAATCAAAGACCTCATTGATAAGAAACATTTGAAATCACGACAGTTTGAACTTTTGCATGGGTCGCATCCCGCTGAGGAAAGTTCGGATTCAGAGCCACCTGTGCCTCAACAGCTTGTCCGAGCTGAAGCCGAAGCTTCCACCGTGAAGGACCGGCATCCAGCATGTATCCTGGTCCTTCCACAGTGCCAGCGCAACTGACACTCCTGCTGCAGAGAAGCATGGACCCCCTTTTGGCCTCCACCAAACCTTGCCCCTAAAGACTCTAGCGAAATCGCGCAAGAGCTAGTTCCTATCTAAGTTGTTGAAGCCATCCAGGGGTATCAGTGTGATGATCCGGATTCCGCTCCGTCAGCAGATCCTTGTCCGTCACCAGCCGGCAACCGCCAGCGTGTGAATGAAGTGCTCAGTTGGTGCCCATGAGGGCCATGAAGTTTTGATTGCCAAATACATGCAGAAACGTTCCCGAGAGGAATTACCACATAGCAACGATCCTTCAAAATGCAAGCCATGGTTAATAAAGGGAAGAAGCTGGAATGGAATATCCTCTTTAGCAAGCCAAGCATCATCAAGATCCACTATGTAAAAGCAGCAGATCACATCAGGGAAAGTTTTGCACATCGGTTCATGGGTAAACGGTTTGTTTTGACTCGCAAAGCCTGCCATGAAGGCGAAGAAGTTGATCCAAACGAATTTGACCGCTTTCGTCGCGAAAGGTCGATGGTGTCTGCAAAGTCATCTGAGCCAGCTGGGCCGCGTGACCTTGACGCAGATGATTGCAAATCATCGCTGGCTTGTCAGTTGGGTTAGAGGCTCTTTCCAAAATAGCCACCAGGTGGCATCCCAGGGCCAACCACCCAATCCGGTGGGGATAATGGGAGCGCGCGCTGACGACACGGCACTGGGGGCCTCGGGGCCTCAGGGCAAAGTTTGAATTGGCACTGCAGAAATTGCGGCCAAGGTTCTCCGAAAGGAAATGGCACACAAATCAAAAGAATTCTGTTGGGCATGGAATATACAACATCAAACAATGAGTAAGAATCTTTTGTTGATAAGATCCGTCCTGCCAATGTCCCCAAAGATGCCAGTTCAAATCAGCTCACCAGAAAAAGGTCCTTAAAGCAGTAAAAGAAAAACGGCCCCTTAACTGGTTGCCCTCACAGTCACAGTCACAGTCTCGTCCCGACTTGGCAGCTCAAACGAGCCTGAGCCAACACAATCGGTCCCATCACGAAAGATCCAGGATCTCCGAATGGCGAATCAAACCATGAGAAGAAAAAACAGCACAAGGAGTTGAGCATCAAGGCTATTGATCCCCCTTAACTTACTCTGGTGTGCCACTCCGATGCGGCATGGGCCAACAACGGATCCCATACACAAGCTGGGTATATCATTGCCTTGTGTGAGAAGTCTCTTCAAGATGGTGAAGTGGCCAACTGGTGTCCTGCTGCCTGGCGTAGCTACCGCTTGCCAAGAGCTTTCAGCAGCAAGCTTCTTGCTGAAGCCCACGCTCTCGCCAAGTGGCCGGTACTGTACAATGGTTGGCTCTGCTTGTGCCTGAAATTTTGCACGGGCCGACACCGGTTCTGATAAAGGGACCTCCGCTGTTCATCACACACTGCAAAAGCCTTTACAACCACTTGGTCTCCCCATCTTCTCCCACGGCAATAGATGACAGAAGGATGTCCATCGAAGTCATCAGACTCTGGGAGCGCACATGTTGGCTGACAGTCTTACTAAAGAAAGATGCCGGGGAGCCAGTAGAACTTTTACATCTTGAGCTCATGACAGAAATGTCTCGATCGCCCTGTGCCTTCCTTTAAGTGTTTCTCCAAGCGCAGCCGTCGGTTTGCTCAAGTGGTTCTGTTTGGGCCATTTCTGAAAGCGAGAACAGCCATCAGCTCCTTTATTGCTCGGCCAAGCCCATCGTGAAAGTCTTGATGCTGATGGCCTCTCCGGGCTTACAGTGAAGCGATTCCATCTGATACCCGTGCAGCCATGGCTCATGGGACGAAGCGCCGAATTTTATCCGAGCCTACAGGCAGCAATGACACCTCCCACAAGGTGGATCCCAAGCGCTTGCCCAGGGGCATTCCCTCGCTGGAACATTGGTCGCACTGCTGCCTTGAGTTTGGTCGCTAGATGGGCTGTCATGTGGGGAGCTTGTTGGATCTACGTTGTCAGACCATCAGTCCCCTGTGAAGTGGGCAAGAGCAATCTGAACAAGTTCCGAAGAACCGTGATTCACTGACCCGGTGGCTTCCCTCAAGTTGTATGATGAGATGATGGGCGGCATCCGAATCGGTCACCAGGATCGGTCACCAGGATATCCGAATCGGGAACTAAGAATCGGTCACCGGATTTCCAGGATCGGTCACCGGATTTCCAGGATCGGACACCAGGATAGCAGGATCGGACACCAGAATCGGACACCGAGAACCGGTCACCAAGCAGATCAAGACATGTTAGGGTATAGCAACTATACCAAACCAACCCGAATCGGTCACCAAGCAGATCAAGACATGTTAGGGTATAGCAACTAAACCAAACCAACCCGAATCGGTCACCAAGCAGATCAAGAAATGTTAGGGTATAGCAACTAAACCGAACCAACCCGAATCGGTCACCAAGCAGATCAAGAAATGTTAGAGTATAGCAACTATACCAAACCAACCCGAATCGGTCACCAAGCAGATCAAGAAACGTTAACTATCATTTCCCCTTTCCGAGACGCGTTTTTCGTTTGGCCCTGTTGGACGGCTAGATGCTCAGAGTGGAAGATGTCGATTGGAAGCTGTTGTTTCTTTTGCTGAACGGTTTGATTGAAAATGCTTGAAGTGTTGTTGAGCAGGGCATGACTAATTTCGCATGACAATGAAACAGTCTTATTGATGTGAGACGAATTCATCAACATTAGAGGCCCTTACTGTTGATAAATTTCTTGCCGCGCATCACCCACTATCATTTCCCCTTTCCGAGGCGCGTTTTTCGCCTGGCCCTGTTGGGCTAGATGCTCAGAGTGGGAGATGTCCAATAGACATTCATCAATGAGCTTTGGGCCCACATTCAGGAGGGATGATATTCAAAAATTGACTTGGAAGCAGTGAACCCTGCAGAAACACAGGTTGCATTTGAAATCACACCTGGGAAAACAAAAGGTGAACACCCAACCTACAAAGACATGGGAGAAGATCAGAAAAAATAAAAACAAATAAAAACAAAACCAAACAAATAAAAACAAATAAATCCCTGCACACTGAGCTCCAGTGACCCAATCACTCACAGGCAGCTGCCATTTTTTTCAGCCACACTGATCTCTGCATGTCCTTCAGGCTTTTTAGCCCTCAGTTTTGTCTGTGTGTTTCTCCTTGTCCTTTTTTTTCTTCCTCTTTTTTTTCTTCTTAGGAAGGACCTCCTCATCTGTGGACAGCGACAGGCTGTCCTCCTTCTCCTTTTTCTTCACCTTTTTCTTATCCTTTTTCTTTTCCTTTCTGCCTGGATCAGCTTCATGCTGCTCATCAGCCTTCCTCTTCCTCTTACCAGGGAATTCCTGTGTCTTAGTATATTTTGGTGGTGGAAGATTTGTGATACCTTCCCTGATTGCATCAAGAACTGACTGGGGAATGTCACCAGCATTTTGAATGCTGCCTGCCTCCAGCTGCAAGCCACTGACATTAGCCAACCTGTTTTCCCAGGTTGTCCAAGCATGTCTGTGTACATCAGAAAGCTTTCTGGCCCAGCTATGTTCACACTTGTGGTCAAAACTTCTGGAGAATGATGAAATCCCAAGATGCTCTGCAAATGTAGCTGTGAAGCGATGGTCATTGCCTTAGCTGTGCAAACACCATGGCTTGGCCAAGGCAAACACTGGATTCAAACAACAATGCAATCTTGAAAGGAGTAAACAATTGAAAACCCAAAGTTGAAAAACATCATGGCTTTCACTTGGTCAATCCAAACCACCAGTGATGAATGATGCCATGATCCCCAAGCACTCAGGCCATAGATGCTCAAAACACTGGTTGGGCTGTGGAATGAATATGGTGTAGTTATTTCACAACTGTGTAAGCAAACCCAAATTGAACACTAACCAATGCCAAGGGTCCATTGAGTCGAATTTTCACACCAGGGGGTGAAATGGTCAGCAGTGCTGCTGGGGAGCTGTGGACCTGAGGGCCCCTGATGTGGTGCCTTGCAAGTGTGGAAGCTCTTGCTGCCACTGCTTCCAATGCTTGTGGTTCAGGCTGCATATCCTCACCTGCAGGTGCTATGCTGTGCTGTGTATCTGATGCAGGAGCTTGCACAAGGTCACCTGCAGCTTCCACCTCTTGCTGCTGCTGCTGCTGCTGCTGTGGCTCTGCTGGTTCTGCTGATGCCTGTGTGTGCACCTGCCCATCCTCACCTGCAGCTGCTATGCTGTGCTGTGTTGATGCTGGTGCTTCCTCTTGTGCTGGTGATGCAGGAGGAAGTTGCACTGGGCCACCTGCAGCTTCCACCTCTTGCTGCTGCTGTGGCTCTGCTGGTTCTGCTGATGCCTGTGTGTGCACCTGCCCATCCTCACCTGCAGCTGCTATGCTGTGCTGTGTTGATGCTGGTGCTTCCTCTTGTGCTGGTGATGCAGGAGGAAGTTGCACTGGGCCACCTGCAGCTTCCACCTCTTGCTGCTGCTGTGGCTCTGCTGGTTCTGCTGATGCCTGTGTGTGTGCATCTGTCCATCCTCACCTGCAGTTCTGCTATGCTGTGCTGGTGTGTGCTGGTGTTTCTTCAGGAAGTGCTTGTGGTGGGCCAAACTGTAGTGACTGTAGTGGCTCACTTGGCACCAATGGCTGTGATGCTGGCTCTTGCAAACCTGGGGATGCTGGTGATGGTCCATCTCCAAAAAGTTTTGCTGGAGATCCTGGTGATGGTGATCCACCTTCAAATAGATCTGCTGGAGATACTTGTGATGGTCCACCAGGTGGGCTAAATTGTAAAAGAATAGATGGGCTGTACCCATCCTCTTCTGCTGCACTAGGTTGGCATGTGCCAGGCTGCTCATTCCCTGGTGGAACTTGGGCATCTTCAAGGGGTGCTGGTTCACCTTGGGAATTGGCCCTGTTTTTTCCCCTGCCAAACCCCCTGCCTTTACCTTTGCCTCTCCCCCTGCCACATCCTTTTGCCTTTGGTGCAGCAGTTTTGGCTGCCCCCTTGCCTCTTCCCCTGCCTTTGCCCCTCCCCCTGCCTTTGCCCCTCCCCCTGCCCTTTTTGGGAAGCAAATCACCAGGTGGGTCTTCCATCATTTGTGTTCTTTTCTTTCTTTTCTGCACCTGTTCTCTCTCCTGTTTTAGGTCTTGGTCCCCTTGGTTTTCTGCATCCTCCTCTACAAGTTTGATCAGTTCCTCATAATCTGAAATGTTGGATTGGGAATCCTCCTGGCCATCACCTTTCATCACTGCTGACTTTTGGAAGGCATCCTCTCTTTCTTCAGGTGTTGCTAGCACACTGTCTATCAAGAGTTTGTAGATAGCAGGCTTGGACTTCTGGCTTGGTATCTTAATGCCAAGGCAGCTGATGCATGCAAGTGCCTGTTTCACTGTTAACTGCAGCCCTTGCTTGACCCTGGCTGCACACAAGTTTTCTGAAGGGCCTGATGGTACCATGACAAGGCCACCATGGTTTCCAACCATTTGGACTTCAAAGGAAATATCAAGCCACTCCTCCAAGTCACAAATGTGCAGAAAGACTAGGGCAGTGCTTTGCTGAATTGGTCTGTAAGCAGTCCCCACACCTTCCAACTCAATGGCTTCTAGCATCCAAGCCAACAAGCCAAGGCTGCCAGGTGCCAGAACTAGATATGCTTGCCCTTCTTTCTGGGAAGCTATGATTGACCCAGGGGGCCACTCAAGCATGACAACAATGGCAGTTGAGAGTTGGTGCCACCTCTTTCTGTCAGGACCCACTCCAAAGACACAACCTGCTCATACAAGGATGCAGGAGTTGTTGAATGCCAAAAATGGTCTGCTGCCTTGTGCCTCATCAAGTGCTGAAATTCCCTGCTGAGCTTGTGGGAGCTTGGGTGGGTAGCTGGGACCACTGGTGGCAAATCCCTCACCTTGGCAGTGGCCATTTCCCACTCAGAGACTTTGACACAATCTGTTTGCCTGGAACTTAGCACCTTGCTGCTAATGCAGGCATGGTATTTATTAACCCTGGATTTGAAATTATGCCTGGCCTCCTTCATCAAATCCTTTGCTGAGCTATGTGTGGACTCAATGCAGGCTGTGTCCCCTAAATGGCACAAGGAGTGCTGCAGCATGGTGCTGGCTTGTGGCTGATCTTGCACTCCTTGGGCCAAATCCCTTTCATTGAGAAGGAAGGCAAGCCTGCAATAAGAGCTGGAAAGGAAATGCAAACAGTCTAGCCCCTCAACATGGGTACCTCTGGCATGCATGGCCTCACAGGCAAGCAATTTCTCAAATTCTGCCTGCATTTTTGCTGCAGCAGCTGGCCTCAGTGTTGGAATTACAAGCCCTGCATACCTAATGGGTGGTACCAAGTAAGAGGATGCCAAGCTGGCAGCCCTCTTCCCAATAAGCTTGGTGATGAAATCATACTGAATTTCCATCCTTGTTTTCTTTACCTCTTGAGGGGTGCTGCCAGGGGGATAAAGTTTTTTCAGTACTTCAATATCATAGAAATTGTCCACCAAAAGATCATACAATTCATTTTTCCAACCTCCTTCAGCCATTCCAACTGTCCAACCTGCCACTTGTTCTGGTGACAAAATGTCTTTTGCTCTTGATGCATGGTGTCTCCAGGAGCTGTTTGCACACAAGGCAATGACCTCTTTTTGCCACATGCTACTGGGAGTTGTGAGCATGGGGGCAAGCTGGTAGGTGCCATGCTTTTGCTTCAAAGCAAGAAGTTCTTGCTTTGGATTGGAGTTGTCACCTGCACTGGCTATTGCCTGGATGGTCTCATTCTTCACAAAATCGACCCCTTGTGCTGGATCTTCCAGATGCTTCTCCAGCATTATGAACTTGTTGCACCAATTTTCTCCCTTGTGGAATTCATTACACTGGAACCATGAAAACCACCGCATTATTTTCACTAATGGTCCATGGCACTGGGTGGAATTTAAATCTGCCATGCCAAAAAAACATTTTCTCTCTACCTTCCTTTGAAGTAGGCTCTGCCACATTTCTTTCATGACATATCCAAGGCAAATAGCTGAGAAATGGTTCAGTGTGGGGACTGCAAGTGTCCAGGATTTCTCTCAACCTATTTTTTCTCCTAGTAAACCACTCTTTAGACCCATTAGGTCCATAGGAGGTGTTCCAAAAGAGGCTGAAGCTGAGCATGCATTTAAACAATGAGCCTTTGGCTTTCTTTAGAGAATCTCGAAGATCATTCCAAGCCCTATGGAATGGATCCCATAGGGTAAGCACAGGCATGAACAACTTGAAGCACATGTAATCAAGGGAGGCTCTGTTGATGCCACCTTGGTCACTGATGGAGCAAAGAAGGGGGACCTGGTTGATATCAAAACTTGGTGGCAACTGGGCAATCTTTGTCCCTGAAGCTTTGTCAGCCACAAACATGATGCCATCAGAATATTCTCTGGACTGGTTTGGACCAAGAGGCTTCCAATGCACATCATTGGGCAGCTGGAAGAATTCAAGAGGATAACCAATCCCTTTAAGGGCATGGGACAAAGCCCTCAACTCACCATATCCTTCAATCCTGGTGAGTTTCTTTTTTGCAGCCAGCTGCTGCATTTCCAAAAGAACCTCTGATTTTTGGACTGGCACCATATTTTGTATGGGTAAATAGCAAGACTTCCCATTCTGCACTGCATATGCAATCCCCACAAAGGTTGGGCAATCATATTGGGAAGGGTCCCAATGGACTGCAATGTGCTTCACCCCCTGGAATGCTTTGTTGCACTGCTGCATGTAGAGGGCTGTGGCCAGCAAATGCTCACTTTTTATGATGCTGTCATTTTGGGTGACCAAATCAGTATGTGTTTTCATTGCCACAGCTCTATGGTGCCTAGCAGACCTAACCTTCTGCAACAAAATCACTTTGTTGACCCATGGTGCCTTTTTGAACCTACCTTTTTTCCCTTTGGATGCAAGCAGTGGCACCCTTGCCAATGGCAAATTGGAATTTGCCAAGGCCAGTTGGTTGATGAGCTGGCCAGCCACAAAAACAACTTTAGGCCAAAGAAATTCACAGCAAAATGCCCACAAGGATTTCTGTTTGGGGTGGCTCTTGGACCAGCAGCAAAACAATATTAAATCCCAAAAGCTTGGGTGTTCAAATGCTGAAGTTATTTTGAAGCCACAGAGTGGAGTGGTCATTAAGTTCCTCCATGCCACCTGTGCACCCTTGCACTTGCCCAGCAGCTCTGACAATCCAGTCAACACCATATTCTCTTCTAGGGTTATGTTGCCTGCATGATATTGCTTGTCACTGCCATATACCATGCATGCAAAAGCCAAACCTTGGCATCCAGCTGCACATGACACCCTGAGCAAGTTATGGGCTAACTGGAGTGCTTTCAGCTTCACATCTTTGCCAAATCGCCTGCTTGCAGCAACAAGGAGGATCATAAGGAAAAATGCAGGGGATGTGAAAGTATGCACCCCTGCCTGGCCTCCTTCACTGGCACCCCTGTATTGAAAACCACTGCTGAAACTTATTTCTGCTTTTTCAAATTCAACTTGAAATGTGTCCCTGTTGTTCTTCAAATATACATGGTCCTTTTTTGACTTGGTGCCTGAAAAGGATGAAGCCCTGGACCATTCCCAGACTGCAACACCATCATCAATAGTGGCAGTCATTGTAGCCCCCACATCCAAACTTATCACAGCAAGTTTTCCTGTTGTCTCTTCTGGTGGCTGTGTTGTGGCAATTTGTTGGCCACCTTGTTGCACATGGTGAACACCAGGTATACTTTCCATGCAAGAAGAATGCTGCAATGGCCCTGGATGCCCAGGGGGGCTGGCAAAATCTGCTGCACCTGGCCAATTGGAATCAATGGCACAAAGAGCTGCTGCACCTGGCAAATCCCGGGCACTGGTTGGCAAATTTCTTGGGCTTGCCCCATGTGGTGCCTCCATGGCTGCAGGCCCCATGCTTGCTGACAAACAAGGTTCCTGTTGGGATGGCTGCAACAAACCTAACCCTAGACTGGGCAGAGCACCACCAGGCAGTTCAAAGCTAAACTGGGCAATGGGCCTTGGCTGCAGTCCTGGATTGGTTGGCTGAATGGCTGGCTCCAGGGCATTGTGATTAGGCTCTTGCTGGATGGCTGGCTGAAACAAACCTGGCCCAGGGCCAGCCACACTGTCAAATGGCACATGCTGGGCAATGGCAGCTGGCTCATGCTGGGCAATGGCTTCACATTCCATGTGTGAAGGCATGCTAAAAGCTGCCCCAACATGCATGGCTTGTACAACACCAACAGCATTGGCAAGCAGGTTTGGCTGGCTACTAGGGCTAACCACATGGTCAAAGGGCCCAGGCTGGGCAAAGGCAAATGGCTCATGTTGGGCAATGGCTTGCTGCAGCCCTGCACTGGGTGGCAGTGAAGCATTCTGAACTTGCCACTGGTCATTTACAACATATTCCATGTGTGAAGGCATGCTAGTTGCTGCTCCAACAGGCATGGGTGGCAACACATTGATACTAGGCTCTTGCTGGGTGGGTGGCTGCAACAAACCTACACCAGGACTAAACACATTCTGACAGGACCCAGGCTGTGCAAATGCAAATGGCTCATGTTGGGCAATGGCTTGCTGCAGCCCTGCACTGGATGGCAGTGCAGCATTCTGTGCTTGCCACTGGTCATGTACAACACATTCCATGTTTGAAGGCATACTGGCTGCTGCTCCAACAGGCATGGGTGACAAAACATCAACAGAGGCATTGCTACTAGGCTCTTGCTGGACACCAGGACTAAGCACATTCTGACAGGGCCCAGGCTGTGCAAAGGCAAATGGCTCATGTTGGGCAATGGCTTGCTGCAGTCCTGCACTGGGTGGCAGTGCAGCATTTTGTGCTTGCCACTGGTCATGTACAACACATTCCATGTTTGAAGGCATACTGGCTGCTGCTCCAACAGGCATGGGTGACAAAACATCAACAGAGGCATTGCTACTAGGCTCTTGCTGGACACCAGGACTAAGCACATTCTGACAGGACCCAGGCTGTGCAAAGGCAAATGGCTCATGTTGGGCAATGGCTTGCTGCAGTCCTGCATTGGGTGGCAGCGCAGCATTCTGAACTTGCCACTGGTCATGTACAACATATTCCATGTGTGAAGGCATGCTAGCTGCTGCTCCAACAGGCATGGGTGACAACACATTGATACTAGGCTCTTGCTGGGTGGGTGGCTGCAACAAACCTACACCAGGACTAAACACATTCTGACAGGACCCAGGCTGTGCAAATGCAAATGGCTCATGTTGGGCAATGGCTTGCTGCAGCCCTGCACTGGATGGCAGTGCAGCATTCTGTGCTTGCCGCTGGTCATGTACAACACATTCCATGTTTGAAGGCATACTGGCTGCTGCTCCAACAGGCATGGGTGACAAAACATCAACAAAGGAATTGCTACTAGGCTCTTGGTGGACACCAGGACTAAGCACATTCTGACAGGGCCCAGGCTGTGCAAATGCAAATGGCTCATGTTGGGCAATGGCTTGCTGCAATCCTGCACTGGGTGGCAGTGCAGCATTCTGAACTTGCCACTGGTCATTTACAACACATTCCATGTTTGAAGGCATACTGGCTGCTGCCACAACAGGCATGGGTGGCAACACATTGATACTAGGCTCTTGCTGGGTGGGTGGCTGCAACAAACCTACACCAGGACTAAACACATTCTGACAGGACCCAGGCT